TGTGCTCTGTAATTTAAATGAAACAAAACTTTTTTATTTTCATCAAAATGAGTAACAAAAACGGACGATCCATTTTTTAATTCTCATTCCCATTGATAAAAAAAACTTGTCTTTGGACCAACTTGTTTTTTTTTTTAAAAAAAAAAAAAACTTGAATGATTATTAAAAAAAAAAAAATATATTATAAAATAAAAATGTTGTTTGAAAGAAAAATGGACAATTCCTAATCCAAAATATATATTTTTTTTTTTTATAAAAAAAATCTATTACGATGGCACTTCATGATTTGCCACATTGCCACCATTCTTACGTTTTAAATTGTTACGGCATACCCTGACATACAATCATCATAAACATAAACATCTCAGTGGAAATCTATTGGCATTTTGGTTTTTTATCAGTAATTTCATTACTTTTTTTAAAAATAAATTTCTTTTTACTGTAAACAATATTTTATTATAAAGAGTAGTGTTAATTAAACAAGCATCTCTTCAATATTTAATTTACATACATAAATTATTAATCTAAAAAGCAATTAATAAATTAGAAATCATAAATCTATAAATTATCTGTTATAAAAGAAAAGGAATAAAATAAATACTAAAATAAAATTTAATCGACTTGATATAGCAATCTGTTATATAATAGGCGCTAACTACTTTTTCATTCAATGACCAAAAAAATAAATAAAAAAAAAAAAAAAGGTTTTGCTATCTCCGTCAAAATATTTGAATTGTTTCTTTCCAAACTACTTTATTATTCTAATATTATATTATGGGATGACTTTTGGGGTACAATTTTTTTTTTTTTTTGTTATTCAATTATTCAATTGTATATTTATTTATGTCATTATAAAATCGGAATCTAAATTACCCACATATTTTTTTTTTTTTTTTAAAAAAAAAAAGTATTTATATGTTAAGAGCTAGTTAACTCCACGTTTAAAAATTTTTGAAAAAAAAAAAAAAAAAATTTTTTTTCGTCCCATTTATTCCAAATTTTCTTTATAAATATAGTACACACCTTTGCATCAAAAAAAAAATTGTGTCTTTCCCCCTCCCCTTCTCACTTTGAAAATTCATTTTTTGATTAAAAAAAGAATTCCTACTGCAATTTTTTTTTTTTCGCCATTATCGTAAATCTATTTGAAAAAAATAAAGATTTTTGAACAAAAAAGAAGTTTAAAGTTGCTTTACATAGTTAACATATTTAGTAGCAAACATCAAAACAAAAAAAAAAAAAAATACCATTTTCCTTGAAATCCGATTTTAGTTTTATTTTATCGGAGTACATTCTTATCTATTCCGGATTCATCAATATTTATTTATTTAAACTGGACAGGAGATAATTCTTGTTAAAAAAAAAAATTATTTTTTTTTTTTAAGCCCCAATTTCAATAAAAAAAGTTTATATAATAAAAAAAATATTTCCCCTCAAATAAAAAAAGTTTACTCAAAAAAAAAAAAAAAAAAAAAAAAAATGTCTTCCCATTGCATGCAAAGTTCAAATGATTCAGAGGTGAAGGCGATTACACTCATGTCGCCCCCTCTTTCTCCCAAAAAACATCCTCTTACAAGAGTGGCAATCACTCAATCAAATGACGATGATGAATTGAATAATAAATCCCTTGAAAAACCAGGGTTAAACGAGCAACAATTACAAGAACCACCGCAGCAGCAGCAGCCTAATTTGGAAACCACCCCAAAAATCGCATTTATTCAAGAGGTTTCAACGTCCACAATGCCTCGTAAAAAGTATCGAATGAGACTCTTTGAAGCCCCACCGGAACTCTTGGAATTTATCAAAACTTCTGAAGAGGAGAAAAACAAAGCAACCATTTCGCCGAATAATAAGCGAACTGCGGCCACCGACATCGTGGGTGGTACAAATGATAGAAATGGTTCCTCATTTGCCACACCATCGAGTCATAACAAAGGTCGTATGATCATGACGCCAAAAACAACAACGGGGCAACAAACAACAACTCGCAAGATCATTTCCGATAAACGTTCAAATCGTTCTAGGAAGAATCCTTATCCAAAGAAGGCACCTTCAAAATCCTCACCAGGGATAACCCTTAAAGTAGACGTCTTTACGGCATTCAAAGAGGATCCGGCGTCGCTTTTGAAGAGTGATGATCCCCCAACGAATTCCAATTCGATGAGTTTGTTGTTCAGCGAATTCTCATCATCAGAGTCATCACCGCCGCAGAGTCCAAGCCCACAGAGATCATTGTCCAAGAAACAAAGAAAACAACATAAAACAAAGACAAAGCGATCGAAAAATCATATCTCTGAAAGGAAACGCAAAGGAAATAGTCTCGCAAGAGTGATGGCAGATCGTGGCTTAATAGAAACAACATTCAATCCTGTTACGACAGTTGCAGGTGAAATTAAACAAATTCGAATCCCACCTCCGCCCCCAATGTTATTTGATGAATTGGTGAAGAGCATTGATCAGTTAGGTCTCACAACAGAATTGTTAAGCAAAATAAATCCAAGAATAAACTGGAAAGGACAACCTTTATCGATTTCACATCTTCCACATTACAATTCTTTACATCCTAAAGAGGCAATTGTGGCTTCGACGCTTCGACTCACACCTGTTCAATACCTGACGGCAAAGAATACTTTGGTTTCATCTGCCCGAAGGTACATACAAAAATCGCTCCCTTTCCGTAAAAGTGACGCACAGAAACTTCTTAGAATTGATGTGAATAAAGCAAGTAAATTATGGGAATTTTTTATGCAAGTTAAATGGATCTAATGAAGGCTGTACAGTTTTTTTTAGTCAACATTTAATTGGCGCAATTTTTTTTTTGCTCCTTAAATCATACACAAAAAATTTAGCATGAAATTAGTTACATTTTTAGAGTTTTTTTGATATATATATTTTTTTTGGCATTTAGATACCTTTACTGTACATATAAGATACATATAAGATTTTATCATTCTTATAGAGTTAATTATTATTATTATTATTATTATTATATCTATTATGTACATTTTTTTTTATCTTGCCTGAGAAACAAATAATAAATAATAAACCGTTGTATAAAATCGAAACAAAAAAAAACCTTGAAACCTTCTTCATTGGTTGCAGGACTCATAAAAAATAAAATAATGAAAACCTGACAAAGCAATGATTACGTCATGACACGTGATATTCAGGAACCCACCAATCAAAATCGGTCAAATAACTAACCATCGTTGACTTAATTATAGAAACCACCACCAAAATGGTCAAACGTACTTTTATTTACCTGATTATTAGCACAATCCAAAAGGAAGTAGAGTCCATCGAACATTTTAATATCACTTTTAGAGGGTGGAAATCAAAAAATGGTAAATTCATTGGGCCAAATTTTTTTTAGTTCGAATTTAAAAAAATGATAGATTTATTATTAGAAATAACACACCCGTCATTAAATTACCTAAAATTGGAAATTTCATGTCCAATCGGGAATTTAATATAAAATCAAATGTATCATTTTCAGTAGCACAGCACGTCTGTATAAGGAATTGTTTTAAAACTCTGGTAAAAACTTGCTTCTAATGTTTATTATTATTTCCATGAAAGCAAATTTGTTCAATGCCATTAACTTGAATTAACTTGAACCACAGAAGTTGTGCGACAAAAGTGAGGGAAAAAGTTATCAGATTAATAGTTTTTTGAGTAACAGAAAGCCCACTATAAACAAGCTGTTCTTTCCTTCGCGAACTCTTTGTGTAAATCCTTTTTTTATTATTATTTGCTGGCAAACCAACCGGGTTTTCCAAATAATTTATTTTTCTCTCATTCACCAATATATATCACGGAACGATGAAAGACAAATGGAATTAAAATTTTATTTGTATAACTTGTATAACAGTTTTTTTTTTGATCGGTTTTGAGATTTCATTACAATATTTCCTAATTAGTATATAACAGAATTAAGAATCAAATTCTTTACAGTGTGATACCTTCTAAATTTATACTTGAAGTGAATTCTTCTTTGTTCATCGAAATTTCTTAAATTAGATTTGTTAATGGAAAATGCCGGTAAATACCTATTTAGGAACGGATCTTTTTTATTGAATGATGATGAAAATAAAGTTTAATCTGAAATTCTTCCGTGTATAAAAAATTACAACATATCCATCCATCTTCTCATTTGAATAAAAAAAGGAAAATTCAAAAAAAAAAAAAAAATCCAAATATTTACACAAAATTCGGATCGCCACGGGAATTTTATTAGTGTGTATCGAAAAAAAAAAATCCGTGCCCCAAAAGTCACCGCGCCCTGTAGCATCAAAAATTTTTTTATTTTTTTTCCCTTTCACTTACGCTCTCAAGTTACATATCGAATGATAAATTCTATCAAAAAATAAGGTTCCTAACCTTCATATTGATTTTCATTGAGTTCCTAATTTATCGTTTATTTTTTCTTTTTTTTTTCATTTCTATTATTTTTATTACAACCCCTTTAAGTTTCATCAATGAGTCTTCACTTTAATTAATATTCCGCAACATCAAAACAAACACAAGCCACACAATGAAAATTTTTTTTTTTAATTTACAAAATATACAGGATTATTTATTAATTTTTTTTTTGTTATTGTCACACTAAAAGCATCCATACAAATTAAATTGCCTATTTTTATTTTGGATTATTAAAAAAACCATTCATTAACCTTATTGTAAGGTTGAATGTTGAAAGGGGAAATGCCCATAAATATTTTGATTTGACAATAATTTATTCCTTTTATCGTAAATTAATTTGGATTAGAGTTTGTTTATAATACACTTCATTTGGGAATCTGAATGAAAATTACTGCGCAACCACAGATTACATGATAGCACAACTTGTTCTTTACATGTTTTTTGAACCAAATTCAGAAAACTAATTTTTTTTTTTAAAAAAAAAAAGAAATGTTTCATTTATTTATGATTCAAAGAGAGAGAGAAAACATCATTCGATAAAGCTTAATGTTTTTTTTTAAAATAAAAAACTTCAATTTTCACAACTTGGCTACACCTCCAAAATTTTTTAATACGCCAAAACCATTGGCTAAAACGATAGTATCTCTTTCCTTAGCTTTAGTAATAAAGACAACATTGGTTTCATTCGGGTTTTCACCAGGTACTTTCCACATGTGGGTTTCCAAAGTATCACCAGGATAGACGGGGGCGGTAAATCTTACGGAAATACTTTTAAATAATTTTGGATCGTTGTTTGCAAGATGTTTAACTATCGCATGCGCTGCATATCCGAATGAGCATAATCCATGCAATATAGGTCTTTCAAATCCTACTTTTGGTGCAATTGTTGGATCTATCAAGGAAACGAATGTGGTTTGTTATTTAATCATTGATCTTACACATTGAAGAATTTATTTCACAAACCTGCATGAAGGGGATTATAATCACTACAAATCAATAAAATTAGGTTTGATCAATTAAGGTCTATTAATCCCAAATTTATCACAAATTAACGGACATACGGATATCGTATTTTTAAGGTTTAACTTCAAGACTTACCCAGATAATCGATATAATAAAGCTTGAGTCGAACTAGTCGGAGAAGAGTCAATGGCATCAGGTTTTTTGTCCTTTGGTGGTTTATAACTTGGACCTTTTTGACCTTTTGGACCTCCAAATCCGCCGTAACCAATAATAAAAGTTTGAATAGTCATCACGCAATATTCTTTACCAGTTTTTGGATCGACCATAGTATTGACCCGTTCTAATAACATTCCACTCCCTTTATCATATACTCCATTAACTTTACAATGTATTTCAAATTCACCAGATGTTGGTAATGGATTTAAAATTTCAATAGTTTGTTCTCCATGAATCATTTTGTTTGGTTCCATTTCCGGTAATCCCGGTATTGGACCACCGGCATTCACAGTTTCTGCGAATAAATTTACATCGGACGAATCTCCTTTTAATTGTAGTCCAACTGGATAAGTTGGAAATGGGGTAAAGTTCTTATCTAAAGTTTACAATCAAAAAAAAAATTAATAAACGCAGCATCATCATCATCATCATTAATTTTTAAATAAAAGGTAAATGTCAATTCGAACCTAATTCATATAGGAAATTCAATTCATCTTTAATTCCAATTGATAAAGCATATAAAATGAGATCTCGTTTATTATACGAAACCTGTGACCATTACCATTTAATTTATGTCAAATGTTCGTACAAATACACTCTTAATCAAATACAATTTACCTTTTGCGGTGTAAATCTATGCCCGACAGCTTTATTAACGTCAACCGAAAATTTAGGCATAATTCAAGAAAAAAACGAATTCGTGAGAAGATCCTTTTTCACAATTTTCCTTATTTATATATTGTACCTTACATGACGAGATCTATACTTTAAGTGGAAATTTTCTTACTTGTTTTGAATATATATGATTACATAATCCGAGCAAATGATAACACATTGGAGTCATGCTTTCCGCAGCATCGTTTTCCGTAGTAGTGTTGTGTTTGGGGGGGGGGGGGTGAGATCGGGAAATTGTTCATTGATAATGATTTATTTAATTTTTTGTAAAAAAAAGAAAAGGAAAAAGGAAACGAAAAGACAAAGAAAATTGCATATAACAAGCAAAATGGTTTGATTTCAAGGTTCATTGTCTTATGTACCATATATCTTTGTATTCTCAACATATGATATTGTTTCCGAATTTATTTTTTCTTTATTTTTTTTTTTTTTAAAAAAAATAAAATAAAATAAAATAATAGTTAATAATTTTTTTATTGGTTGATTAGTTTGCTTTTAGGAAATCCAAATAGAAATCTCCCCTAATTAATTAATTAATTGCATTAATAGATGTCATGGGTCGGTTTTAAATAAAACAATATACATCAATCATCATTAAAATTGAATGCACACAAATTTATTCAGATACGGCGAGAAAAAGTTTCAAATGGGTGCTCGAAAAGTATTATAATCAAAGTATCAAAATACAAATTTAGTCAAAGTTAATCAGAGAGGTGAGACACACAACGGATTGCCAAATTACATTTAATCATTCATTAATTTTATTTTGAATAATTATACAGCAAGAAAAGAATTATGATGATGTAAAATGTAACGAATGGCAAGATAAAAACAAATTACGTTGCTGAATGGACGATTTTATGAATTTTCTTTTTAATAAGCATGATAGGCCAAAAATATTCGGTGGATAATGAAATAAGGAGCAATTTCCTAATATGTGATTAAAATGACATCAAATATTTATTTACCTAAAAGTACATTGAACATCATTAAATATAATAATATAAACAAATTTCTTTCTTAAACTGCGGTAATATAAAATGTAACCCGAATAATTTATGGTCTCTGTGCACATGGACTAGTGAAATAATTAATATACAAGAATAAATGAGTACCATTAACGGGAATAAACAAATAAATTTATTTTAAACATTTCATTGCATTCATAATTCATAGTTTAATCCCTTCCTATATTTTACATAAACAAAAAAAGCTTGTGTTTTCTATAGGTTAATTTACCTGTGGCTTAAAAAAGTCGAGGCGCAAGGTTTTGATTTTCCAAAGAGGTAACAAATACATATGTTCGGCAGTTACCTAGCTGCGCGAACTCATCCAAGGAGATCCTTCAAGTAAACAAATTAAGGGTGACTTACGGTACATACCCCTTTTTTCCTTGTTTGGATATTAAGTTTAATAAAAGCGATTGGTTCTTATCAATTTTTTAAATATTTATTTGTTTTTTTTTTTTATCTCCAAAAATTTAATGATTAAAAAAAAATATTAATCAGGTTTTTCATTTTTTTTCCTAACTAGTCGTCTGATTTTCTTTTGTCGTACATTTTTCTCGATTTATTTATCAATAAAGGGTTAGAATAAATAAACAAAAAAAAAAAAGAACAAATCAATCTTTTTTTTACACTAAAATAATTTTTTTTTCCTGATAAAAGATATTTACATGGTGATTATCTATCTATCTTACTTTATATTGACTACACTAATGATCAATGGGTTAATCCAATAAAGAAGTTGCCAAGATATTGGAATTTTTTTTTCTCGTGCCGGCATAAATCAATCATTTGATGTGAAATCTATTATTAGATTAGCGCGAAAAAAAATCAAAAAATAATAATAAGAATAATAATACAATTTTCTGTTGAATTCATGTTACACGGCGCGTCCCGGTGATTCATTAAATTTTATTAACTGTTATGTAAAAGTATTGTAACATAATTACATAAAGCACATAATCTTTTACGAAACCGAGTACTCGATATTTTTAATTTTAACTTACGCGTTATTGTTTTTGACTCGCATGATTTGTACGAAAAAAGAAGGTAAGTTCGGAAGCCATATTCCTTGTTATGGTTTAACTGTTTATCATTTTAAAAAAAAGGGTCAAATTAATCTTTCGCGTTCGGTTTCAAAGCAATAACCAGTAAAATCCTCCAACATTTTTTTTTATCTCTTTCAAATCAGATGTAGACTTTCAAAATGTACAACGATAACTCGGTTCTTTTAAACCCTAAATTAATTAATTTATTAATTAATTAACCGTAACATAATTAAAACTTGTTGGGGTTATAATAAAGGGAAAAGACATAACATAATTCACTTTAGATACGATTTTATCCTTTGAAATCCGTATCTGGAAAATTAAATGATGCCTATATGTTTACGAAATTAGAGAACAAACGATAAAGAACAATTACAAACGAGTTCCACTCTCAAACAAGTTTTGGAAAATGATTAACCGAATTAATCCATATGTACTTTCAAACTTTAACCATTTGTAAGGAAATTCAAAAAAAGTTCATCCCCCGAAGCGAAACCTTTTGGAAATAATATTTTCCAGGAATGTTTTAGGAAATCACATGTTCGGAAGAACAAAAATTCTTTACATTTTATAATTGATTGCGGTGATCAATCTTTGATTGTGCGATCACATGTCCAATTACAGTTCAGAGTTCACAGGGTAGGTAGGTATATGGTATCTAACCATAAATTCCTTCTCTTATCTAAATCAAATCTCAAAAATCAAACAAAAAAAGTACGCAAATGATTTCAAACAAGTGCTGATCAAGGTTAATGGGTAACCTGATATGGATGTTAATATGGTCGATCAAGGGTTCTTGGATTTCGGAATTACCCGAAACACTTTCTGATAGTCATGATGACTTTGAAACCTTTATTTAATATATATACGGAATATGATATAATAAACCTGGCCTTATCGATTAAAAGGAATGTGTTGACTAACGTATAAATAAAAAAAAATTTGACCCATACTAATTAAACGAATCATTTGATCAACGCCAAGACAATGAAAAAGAAATGCAGTTTTAGCATATTTGTTTTGGTAATTGCCAAGACATTGAGATCGATCCCTGGGTAAAAGTTTTTGTATCGAAATACTTATCATTTTCATGTGAATTATTTGTAAAATATAATGCTTTCCACTTTGATTCACGTGATTTACGTATTTATATCTGTGATCAGGTGATTTATCTTCAATTTCAAATAATATCGAGTACGATTAACTCAAAGTCAATGATTTGAAAAATGCACAGTATCATATTACATGGACACATAGGGAAAGATTGTGGAAGATTGCGAATGTGTGGAGTTTATCGAAAAGTTGAAAGCGCATCCTCTAAAATAATGAATAAATAGAGAAAGATATATTTCTTTATTCCTTTATTTTTTAAAATTTTTTAATTTTTTGATGGAAATTTTTGTAACTACTATATAGCAATATGATTTATCTGCGGAATCGCCAATAATTGTTGATGACGTGTTCAAGGGCTGACTTCATTCATATTGACAAGGTATGATGAGTCTAATGAGTCGTTATTTTCCTTATTTGCTATAATAGCAATTTCGAAAAATGATTTAAATGTCCTTCATCCGATACCTTTTTTCATCCAATAAACATTTATTTTCGTATCATAACTTTAATAAAAATGTCCATAAAAGATCATTTGCCAATATCAACTCTTAACGATCCCTTGACAGATAATCATGGCGAGTCGATTCAAAATGGTGTTAATGAGACAGATGGATCTAATTTATTTTTTGAAGTGGAGGCTATCATTGACCATTGTGTTAGGTCGAATGTAAGTTTATTTTAGATGATTAGGTTTATTTGCTATAACAGTATCATGAAATATCTTATTTATTTAGGGTAGTGTCGAATATTTGCTCAAATGGAAAGGTTTTGGTGAAGACGAAAATAGTTGGGTTAGCGAGGAAGACATGTATGTTACTTTTATTGAAAAACACAAAAATTCCAATACATTTATTAAGCGTACTTTATTTCCATAGGAACGCACCAGCTTTAACCAGGCTTTATTGGTCAAATAAGGATATGATTAAGAGCAACCCTAAAATAAGAGGAAGTCCTATTAGGTCTGATAGAGATAGAGAATCCCAAGCGAAAAATAATTTTGATCATCGACAAGAATCCGATTCAGATGCGACCGATATCATACAAAAAGTCAACGGATCGAGTGATTATACCTTTAAAGATGATGACATTCGAATGATTAATGGCAACGATACTGATGGAAGTTGTGAAATTAACAATAATGAAATTCCTAATTGGTTGAAAATTATTGATGAAGAAAGTAAAAGTGCAAATTATTATTTTAAACCAAATGATCACGATAGTTGGGAAAACCATGCAACTATTTTGAATATTGTACGTGAAACTGATGCTGGTGATAATTATGTTCATATAAAATGGTAAGTTTACGCGATCAATGTTTGATGTTCTTGTGAGATATACCCATTCATTTTATTTATAAATAAAGGCCTGATGGAACTGACAGCTATTTTATTACAAGCGAAGTATACCAAAAATGTCCATTGAAGGTATGAAATACGAAACACAACACTGATATGTTATTGATTTTTTCTGTTTCTGTTCTTTTGTTAATTGGAGAATGAACTTTTCTTTCAGATGATTCAATTTTATGAGCGACATCTCGTGTTTAGTGATTAATTAGTATATCCTTTTTGGCTGATTTCAAAAGTTTAATAACTCTTATTTTCTTGCTTGGACCTTTTTTTTTTCAAATCACATTTTTTTTATTAATGATTATACCGAACATTATTCTACTGTATATCAACGTGTATTAAACTGATGATTCGGAAAATTGGTTAAGCTACCCTTTATTATTTTTTTTCGATTGAAAGATTTTTTGATCAGAGAATATGTTTATCCGATAACCCGTAATACTATCGGTCAATATACCTTCATAAATTTTTTCTTATGACGAATATGATGATATAAAATTTGAATTATATCTTGAAATATTAGCGTCATGATTCTCGTTTAATCATTTTGAATTTACAAATATAATGAAAGAACCATATAAAATAAAGCAAAGCTTAGAAATTTTTGCATTTGATAATTCTACCTCACATAGTGCTGTTGCATCTGACACACTAGTTGCATCACGTATGAATGTAAATCCCAAATAAGGAATACAAAATTTAACGGACTAATTCAAATTATGAATTTTCCTGATGTTTATTTTAATCAAAAACTCCGAGGAAAACCAAAGGGATAAAAAGGTTTTAGAAGAACGTCATGAGATTGATAGGATATTGCCATAATAATAAATCTGAAAATATTCAATGTTGATGTGACACATCCTTGAAAATCAACCTGATTTTCTTGCATGATTCAAGAAGTTATTGAAAAACGAGACCATAAAGTAAATTTTTATCTAAAGTTTTAAATTTTATTGAGGAGCATCAAGAAATATTCTCGTAAAAATTGTGACTATACATATCGGTATATAAATGCATATCGAAAAGGATTGAATGTGAAACAAGCAGAATATACAGTTAATTGTTATAAAAGGCATAGAGTGATTAATACATTATTTCATGATATTCAGTTTTAAAATATAATAAAAAGTTTGCGCATATGGCATAGTAAATTTTAATTTTTAATACTGGCTAAAATTACGTTTAATTTATAATTTAAGCTGAAGGTCATATGATTACATGTTAAAGTGCTATATTTGGGATTTGGGTTCTCAAGCTGTAGTTCTTTAAAGTAGAATGGAATATAAATATAAAAGTAAAAATTTTTAATCAATATCATTATAAATTAAATTAAATTAACAATTTAAACATATAGCTTAAAATATATTAAAATCATTAATTTAACTTATTTTTTTAAATTTGAAACTTGATTTAATTTATTAAGATTTAAAAAAGCTATGATAAATTTTGATAAAGATATTAAAATAGTTTAATTATAAATATATTAAAACTTAAAATTATTAACATAGTTTAATAAGAATCTTTATTATAACTTTCAAATCTTAATATACAGACCCCGACGAAAAGAATGGCGGAAACGAATTTTTATGGTATGTACTAACTTTATTTTTATTGTAATTTTTTTTTTATTTATTTA